GTCAAACTCAATGGGACTAATTACACTTTATGGTCCCGATCTGTTCAAGTTTTTTTTGAGGCAAAGGATTTAAGAATTATTTGGTGGATCCTAAACCTAAGGAAGACACTCCTGGGTATGATCAGTGGGAACAAGAGGATGCTTAGATTATCTCTTTATTGTTGAATAACATTGAGCTTAATATTAGCTCTTTGCTGCTCTATTTTGATACTATCAAAGAGATATGGGATCACTTGGCCATTATGTATTCTAGTACAGGTAATTTTACTTGTTCGCATGAGGTGTGCAAGGAGTACTTCTGGTTGGAGCAGGGTACTCTGAGCCTTGCAGATTATTACTCTGACATTTAGGGAGTCTATGAGGAGATGAAGACCTATCATCTGTTTACTACTGATACAACAGTTTGACAGAAATAACATGAGGACCTGAATGTTGTTAGGTTTTTGGTAGGATTGAAACCTGAATATGAGGCTATTCGTTTTTAGATTTTGGGTGATTCTAGTCTTCCATCACTACTTGAGGTTTTCTCTCGTTTACAGTATGTTTCATTGTCTACTTCTTCAGGCATTGATCATGGTGTCTCCACTGATCGCTCAGCTCTTGTAGTTCCTAGCAGCCATAGTGATGGTCATCGAGGTGGACGTGGTGGTCGAGGAGGTCGTACAGGAGGTCGTACGGGTGGTCGTGGGGGCCGTAGTGGATCTCGTTCCTATACTCTGTTGGGATTTACAAGAAAAATCTTCTGGTGTTGCTAATCAGGCTTCTTATCAGGATGACACCTCGGTTGTTGCTTCTATACCTCGGTCAGCTCCACCAGACACTGGGTCGAGAGGTGTGTGCCCAGTTCCAGTTCCAGCAACAGGCTGTTCCATCTCCCTCCATTGCTATTTTTGCACAGTCAGGTACTATTTCCACTTGTTTATTGTCCTCCACCAACAGTCCCTGGATTATAGACTCTGGCATTTCTGACCACATGACTGGTGTATTTGATGTTTTTTCTATTTATTAGTCGGCTATTTTCATACGTAGTGTTATTCTTACTAATGATACTTGTTCTAAAGTTTCAAGTTTGGGGACTACTCATTTGAGTCCTGATATGTCCGTATCATCCATGTTATTTGTTCCTCAGTTTTTTTTTAGTTTATTTTCTATTAGTAAGATTATTCGTTCTCTCAATTGTTCTGTAACCTTTTATCTTTTATTGTCTTTCAAGATCTCAAGACGAAGAGAAAGATTGGTACAGGACGTGAAACTGGTGGCCTATATTACTTTGATTTTGATTCACCTACTCGGGCTCTATAGACCTAGTTGTCTCTTTTTCAATGGCATTGTCGTCTTGAACATCTCTCTCTCTAAAATTTGAAGCACCAAGTTCCCAATCTTAGTTGTGTGTTGTCTTTGTCTTGTGAAGCTTGTTAACTTAGTAAGCATCACCGTGTGTCATTTCAGTCTAGAGTCAATAATTGTGTTTCTGGTCCATTTGAGTTGGTACATTCTGATATATGGGGTGTAATAAAAATATTTTATTTAATAAATATCCTTATTTTATGTCTTTTGTGGATGATTATTCTCGTGTGACTTTGTTGTTTTTGATAAAAGTTGGTCTGAATTATTCTCTATATTTGAGCCTTTCGTTAGGAAATAAAAACTCAGTATAGTTGTCGTATACGTATTTTACGTTCTAATAATGTTCGGGAATATGAATCTGATCTTTTTTCAGTTTATCTTAGTAAAATTGACATTATTGATCAGACTTCTTGTGTTTACACATCTCCATAGAATGGTGTTGCTGAATTCAAGAACCATTATTTGTTAGAAGTCACCCGTGCCATGTTATTCCAGATGAATATTCCTCGATATTTTTGGAGTGATGCTGTTCTTACTATTTATCACCTTATTAATCGTACGTCATCCTCTGTGTTAAATGAGCAAAGTTCATATTCTGTCATTTTTCCTAGTAAGCCCTTATTTTTCCTAACTCCTAAGGTTTTTAGACGTGTCTATTATGTTTACAATTTGGGTCCTGAGTTTGATAAAATTGATCATCGAGTTATCAAATGTGTATTTCTTGGTTATTCCCGTACACAGAAAGGGTATCGTTGCTACAGTCCTTCTCTACGACGATACTTTACTAGTGCCAATGTCACATTTGAGGAATTTATTTCATATTTTTTAGCACCTTCTCAGCCTTTGGATATGGACTTTGGGTCACCTCTTGTACCATCATCTCTTTCCTCATTTTCAGATATTCTACTGCCCATTGTGTTACCGTCTACCTTACTTTTTCGTGTATATTCTTGTCATCCTGGACCACCAACTGACGTGTTCGTATCGTCTTCTTTGTTGCCTTCTGATTTTGGTCCATTAGGTAATTTAGACTGTTTACCTATTACTTTTCGAAAAGGTACTTGTTCGTGTGTTACTAATCATCCCATTGCTCATTTTGTTTCATATGATGTCTTATCTCCTGTCTTCTCTTGTTTTACCTCTCAATTATTTATTATATCTATCCCTAAACATTTACAGGATGAATTATTTGATTCGGGTTGGAGAAAAGTTATAGAGGATGAGATAGATGCCTTACATCATAATGGGACTTGAGAATCTTGTTTTTTTATCCCTTGGTAAACGAACTGTTGGTTGTCGTTGGGTGTATACTGTTAAATTTCATTCGGATGGTTCTGTGGAGTGTCTCAAAGCCCGGCTTGTTGCAAAGGGCTTTATTCAGACCTATGGTGTTGATTATGGGGAGATTTTTTCTCCTGCTGCCAAAATTTCTTCTGTTCGTTTCTTGACTTCTTTGGTTGCTAATTTTGATTGGCCCTTGTTTCAGTTAGACGTCAAGAATGCCTTCCTACATGGTGACTTGGTTAAAGAGGTATACATAAAGCAGCTACCTGGATTTACTGCTTATGGGGAGTATGGTAAGAGTGTATGTTAGTTAAAGAAATCTTTGTATAGATTGAAGCAGTCACCGAGGGCATGATTTGGTAAGTTTTCCAATGCAGTTTTAGAGTTTGGTCTTTTTTGATGTCAAACAGATCATTTTGTGTCCCATAGACAGACGGATGCTGAATATGTTCTATTGGTGGTCTATGTAGATGATATTGTGATTACTGAAAATGATTGTGAGGGGATTGCTAAGTTAAAAATCTTTTTGAAAGATCGATTTCATACTAAGGATTTAGAAAAATTTAGGTATTTCTTGGGAATTGAAGTAGTTCGATCTAAACAGGGTATTTGTTTATCACAGAGGAAATATGTACTTGACATATTAGAGGAAGCAGGTTTGTTGGGTGGCAGACCTATTGATGTTCCTATGGATCCGAATCAGAAATTATTGATGGATGATGGTGCACTGTTTGAGAATTCGGGTCGGTATCGCAAATTGGTTGGGAAGCTTAATTATCTCACTATTACTCGACTGAATATTTCCTATGCAGTCAGTATAGTAAGTCAGTTCATGGGGTATTCTACAGTACCACATTGGGAGACAGTTACTCGTATTCTGTGATATCTTAAACGAGCTTCTGGATTTGGACTGTTATATCGAACTAATTGACATCTTAGAGTGGAAGGTTTCTCAGATGCTGATTATGTTGACTCTCTTTTTGATCAGAGATCAACCACTGGTTATTGTATTTTCTTAGGAGGTAAAGTTGTCTCATGGAAAAGTAAGAAACAATCTGTGGTAGCAAGATCCAGTGCTGAGACTGAGTATAGGGCAATGACGCATACGACGAATGAGTTGACTTGATTATTACACTTTCTCCAGGAAATTAGGTTTTCAGTTCAACCTCCTTTACAGTTGTTTTGTGACAACCTGCTATCCACATCGCTGCCAATCTGGTGTTTCACGGGAGAACTAAACCTATGGAGGTTGATTGTCACTTTATTCAGAATAAGATAGTAGTTGGGGAGATTACGACTCCATTTGTGAAATCTGAAGATCATCTTGCAGATATGTTTACCAAAGCATTGAGTCGTATACGTCTTACAGAGATTTGTTCCAAGTTTAGATTATATGATATATATAGTCCAGTTTGAGGGAGAGTGTTAAGAGTATTAGGGTAGTATATATAAATTATTAATAGTGTTAGGGTATTATGTGTAAATATAAAAGAGTGTGTATGTGTAATTCTTATTATTATGAGTTACCTATAAATACAAGTGATGTATGAGGGATAAATTAAGTTTTTAATCTCTCTGTGTTTCTCTCTTATAGTGTGTTAATCTTCTACACTTAACATTTGTAATCAAGAAATAAAAGAGCGAGAGACAAAAACGAAGGTACCTGGTAGTTGCAGGTGTAGTCTCTGTCAACCTATTTCAGATTGTTTAGTTATTTTGTTTGTACATCAGGCTATGGATTGTGGGCACAGTTTTCTTTCCTTCTAACCTGTTACTCTCCTTTTGTTCTCTCTTCTATTTTTTTTGATATCCGTGTGAGTTCCGCAAAATTTTGCCAGGTCTCCATTGCCTCTTCCCTTTATATAATTATATTTGGTCAAATTTCCAACGACAGTTATAACGTAACTATGTGGATGAATGTGGCGAGCTATGCATGAACAGTGAGTGCTTTGTTGTGTAAGAGTAAAGAGCAGACCTTTATCTTCCGTTTCCTCCATAGATGCTTTTCAGGAATCTACACCTCATTCTATGTTGAATAGAAAGGAATAGCATGGCCAATAAAAAATAGTGTCTTTTTTATTTCTATCTAATCTTAAAAGTGCTGTCTCACCACTAGTGATGTTACATCACTTGAGTGAAGCCCTCTTTACACTCTCAAGACTGGGACCATATGGGCCTACAGGTAGCTATCCGGACTTGAATGGGTTGTTTTGATTAGAACATTTTTCACCTTCTTTAGATGGAAAAATGACATCCAATATATCAACACCATTGTTTGTTCATTGGAATATTGAAACTTGACAGCACAATTATCATGTTCTCCTTTAGATCATATATACCCATATTCTTTTTGTGACTTCTGAAGCAATATGAGGTATCCTTGTAGCTACTTAGTTAAAGGTGAGAGCAAGGCAAGGAGCTAAGCATGAAAATTTTGAAAATGTTAAGCTTCAAGAAGATCCAGATAATGAAGTGGCGGACGAGGATTGCATCATGCGGTGGCTCTGCAGAAACGCGTGTCTGTGTTCAAAGAGAAGTGCCAGCTAAATGTTGCCATGGATCATATGGTGCAAGGCAGTTGTTGTGGAGATTCTGGTCACAGTGGAAGCAAGCTGTGAGATGGCAGAGAAGCACCGCACAGTTCAGCTATGATCCTCACAGCTATTCTCAAAACTTTGATGACGGTTGCTTCCATGATCATCTTTCACCTTTAGCTCCACCATGATTCTCACCTTTTATACTGTTGCTGCATTTCATCAATTTCTGCTTTTAAGGAAGTTTTTAGTTATTTCACCAGAATTTTTCACTGTATTATTTGGCTTTCCTCTTGGTCTTACGTCTATTGCGGTGGTTGTCAATATCCATTTCTCCATTGAATTTCTACGGGACGAACTAACATGATTTTTATGCAGGATTCTAAAATGTTGGCTCTTGTTTCTTTTCAACAACCAACTACAGAATCGTTAAGTTGACCGACCTTGTAATCGTAACTTAAGTATTTATATCATCAAGAGCTATTCGAGTGTCACAAGTTTGAGTGACAGTTTTTATGCATGCGGGTAAGAGGGTGCATTAGAGGTCATCTTCTCATTTATCTGATTGCTTAATTGAATCCTTTGAATTCCTTTGCAGCAATTGTGAAGCTGCAAATATTGGATTATGCATCTCTCTCTCTCTCAAATATTGGGTATCGTACCATTTTCAATAATCCGACTAACTAGCCTTTTTTTATATATACTTGTCAATTATGTTAGGCGAGTCGTGTTTATGTTGAGTCTTAGCGATTGTGTTAAAAATATTTCATTCATGTTTAATTCGATTATTAATTCGTGTTTAAAGAATTGTTATATCGAGTATGAATTATATATAATTGGTATAATATTTGATTTGTTTATTAATTGTGTTGTGTTGGATTTATTTGTTTATTAAATAGGTGATTTAAAGAAGATTTAAATTTTTTAATTTTGTATTGTGCTAACGAATCGTGTCATATTTTAATCTCTTCAATTTTATAAACTCAGCTGATGTAAATTATTTGATGAGGACAGCTAAGCTTGACATGAAAACCAAACTTAAAAACAATAGAATCCAATACAAGAGCCCAAGCCCAACTTTGAAAAGGAGTCAACTCTACAGAAAATATTATTTTTATCTAATTTGAATAATTAATTTAAAGATTTAATTAATTATAATTTTTGAATTAAAAAATAGACCCGTTTTAATATTGAATTACTAATTAATCCCATGTAAGCACTGAATTAGATCTCAAACAAGTTTTAAGGGTGGCTCTAAGTCTGATATTTAGTAATTTAGATGTTTCATGTTCAATTTTTTGTTATACCTCTTAAGGTTTTTTTTTTTTAGTTCAAGGTCAGGGGTGTTTGGGTCAGTTTATATATACTCTAACTAATTCTTTTTTTGGTTTAATCAAAGATAAACTATTAATATCAGGACTAAGATATTTATGAAAGATAAAATTTTTATGCTTTGGTCAAGTTTTGAACTTAAGACATTTGAATTTACTGTTTGCCTTTGTTATTAGCCACACTAGGTTTTTAAGGACATGCTCTAATCGAGTTTAAGTTTTGGTGGTAGTTATTAAACTTAAGGGAATAGAGTTGTTAATTAAACTGAGTTATTTGAGCTCAACTTTGGTTTGATTCGTTTTTGTTTCATTAAGAACGAGTCTAATTTGAATAATTTTTTGGGCTCATTTTTCAAGTTTGATTGGAACTCAACATACTCGACTGGTTTATGTGTAAATATTTGGATACGACTCGTTTTGGGTTTGTTTTCTAAACAAGTCGAATTTGAACAATTTTTTTAGATTCAGTTAAAAAAACGAGTTTTTTATGGTCGACTCGAATCCGTTCGTTGGATTATCAACCTTACAAGGGAATAGTCCAGGTAAATCTGGACACTCGGGCAAAAAAAGAAAAAAGAATTAGATCTCAAATCAAATTTTCAACATCTGCATTGCTCTTTTTCCTTAACGCCTTTTGTACCATTCCGACAATGTATGACCAAAAACTCATCAGCACTCACCATTAATGACTATAGTCCAATTTAATCAATTATATCTTAAACCACAGCCCATGTGCCTATGATGATTCCCCCTTAATCACTCTCAAAAGTTGCCATACTCTCTCTTCAATCTCTCTCTCTCTCTCTCTCTCTCTCTCTCTCTCCTTGTGAGGATGCCGATGGGAAGAACTTTAGTGCTCTCACTAGCCTTCATGACCCTATGGATCGGATTAGCAGTTGCAGATTGGAACATTTTGAATCAAAGAAAGAGGAATGTGTTTGGCGCAAGCTTGAAGAATTACTGTGAGAGTTGGAGAATTAATGTTGAGTTAAACAACATTAAAGAGTTTGATGTTGTCCCCCAGGAATGTATTGAGTACATTGGAAAATACATGACTTCAACCCAGTACAAGGCGGACATAGAGAGGGCCATTGAAGAATCTTCACTGTATCTGAGTAGCTGCTGTTCTTTAAACGGTAATGGTAAAGATTCATGGATCTTTGATGTTGATGACACTCTCTTATCAACTGTGCCCTATTTCAAGAGACACAACTTTGGGTAAGTGTCCATCCTTGGATCATTTCTTTAACTAGTATTTTCAATGGGTAATGCCGTAGTGTAGTCAAGTCAAGTTGTGTCATGTCATATGTGTCAAAATTTACTTGATTCATATCTCATTCATATAATCGTCGTAAAAAATTTAATACTGGTATAAGTTGAGTGTAGTCAAATTTGTGTTTGATCTATTAATTTGATGGGTTCAGTGGTGTTGGGCATGGGTTTTCAGCCCAAAAAACGCACCTGGTAAGTGGATTTGATGCTGGTATAAGTTGAGTGTAGTCAGATTTGTGTCTGATCTATTAATTTGATGGATTTAGTGGTGTTGGGCATGAGCTTCCAGCCCAAAAAATGCACCTAGTAAGTGGAGTGATCCGCTCCCCTTATATGGTCAGATCCCTTCATCACTAATCGATGTGAAACACGTTTGACACCTCAACAATTTCTCTCTTGAATGAGACTTACAATTGATGACCATCATTATTATCTTATCTAGCATAAAGAGCCAAGTCCACACAATGGCTTGGGCAATGGGTCTGATAACACTTGTTGGGCATTAGTTTCCAACCCAAAAGGCGCATCTAGTAGTGGAGTGACCCCTTCTTTTATATGGTCCAGGACTTGCTCATCACCAATCAATGTCAAACTCGTTTGACACCACAATAGGTGGATCTATCAAATTATTGCCAAAATTCTCTACGACTACACACTTAATTCGTGTTCAATTTTTTGTCGGGTTCGTGGGTGGTGTTTAGACTTGTGGTGTCTATTCCTACTGTTTACATTGATGTTGTGGGTGTAAGATTTACTCTTTACATTGGTACAGTTATGATCTGGGTGTAAGATTTATGTATGTGATTTGAAAATTAGGGGAGAGAAGCTGAATATTACCTCTTTGGAAGGATGGATGAGAGAAGCTAAAGCACCAGCACTTGAGCATACACTGAGACTCTTCGACGAGATCAAAAGCAGAGGGATTAAGATCTTTTTGATTTCCTCAAGAAGAGAATGTCTGAGAGATGCCACTGTTGACAATCTCATCAAGGTTGGATACCATGGATGGACTAGTCTCATATTAAGGTACACTTTGGACAAACTTTTGGTGCCTCTTTTTTATTTATTGAAATTGGTTGGCCAATTAAGTCTCTAGATTTTTTTTTGTCAATTGTGCCTTTGAATTCTCTAATTATGTCAATTGAACTCCTTCTATTTGCCTCCATTAGAATATGCCACTCATGTGACTATATGATACAAAGAGACAAAATGACTTAATTAACACAATTAGAGAGTTTAGAGGCACAAATAACATGTAAAAAAAAGTTCAGAGGTTTAATTGACACAAGAATCATAGTTTGAGGGTCATATGTATAGTTTATTTCATCCATTTGTGTTACGTGTATGACATACTTCGCCACTTTTTGTTAAAAAATCTAACAGAAGCCAACTTAAAGGCTCAATTGATACAATTAAAGAGATTATATGTTCAATTGACACAAAAAAAAAATTAGGGACTTAATTGACACATAGATCATAGTTTAAGGATCATATATGTAGTTTAGTCAACATATTTTGTTGCCATTAACTCATCTTTACATGATTTAGCTACAGTGCAACAAAAACCAAGTTGTACCTTGATAGACTAATAAAAATATTGCCTTGGTCAAGGATTGAACCATTGCATCTAGAAAATGGTGTCCAAGAAGTGCTGAGAGACCCAGTTGAATCAGGGAAAAGCTTCAAAACTTAGCGTGGGTTGGGTGCCTTGGGGCTTTGGATTACTTCTATTGATTTTGTCAAACAAATAAATTGGAGAAAAGTACTGTATACGTTCTAATCATCAATTCAAATGTGTAATAAATTCTCTGAGGAGGACAACAATCAAAAGAATATTTCAAAATAGAGGTATTAAAATGACATTGCACGATAGATAGTAGAGATGATAACTTTGTTGAATATTGATGAATTTACACTTTTTTTTGTCGTTCAATATGGTGGTATTAACAATGAACAAAAGGGATTTCCTCTTTTTTTACTTGGTTACAATCTTTACTATGGATATAGGGGTCTCAACGACGAATATAAACAAGTGCACAACTACAAAGCCGAGGCAAGGAAACAATTGGTTAATGAAGGGAACGACATTTGGGGCATCGTTGGAGACCAATGGAGCAGTTTTGATGGATCCCCAAGTGCAAGAAGAACATTTAAGCTTCCAAATTCCTTGTACTACGTTTCCTGAAGCTCAAAATCTACAGCAGACAAGTTACTATTTAACAAGCTTCCAGTGATGGTGGTTATATTGTTGCAATTTCTATGCTGGTGTGCATTGCTTTGTAACTGATGAAAAATCTTCTACCTCTAAAGAATTTGTTTGAATGTGTTTGAACCACTCTCATCAAATTGATATTAATGCACAACTCTCTCTCTCTCTCTCCCCCAAAAGAATGTAAATGGGAAGAAACATACTGTTCTTACAATCTATCATAAGGCAGTACATTGGTTTGTGAAATTGTGCTCTTCTTGCTTGGTTTGCATTAGGCTGTACGTTGGGTTTGTCATTGCAGATTGGGAGCTTTAAGTCCAAATATGCAAATGCTAGATCACATTACTGATATGGTGTTTTGACATATTGTGGAAATGGAACAAGTGCATCGTGTTTTTCCTTGAACTCGGTAGGAGTTAATAATGATATTTGAAGCCTAAAGAATGATTCCACTTATGCTTTTCACTCTCTTCCTGATTTGATTACATGACATTAGCTCCTATTTAGGGCAGTCTGGTTTGGTGGCTGTTTGTGGTTTATTTTTGGGGTTGGGGGGGGGGGGGGGGGAGGGGTGGTTCATGCAGTGCTCCAAAACACATGAAGTAAATTTTCTCACCCCCCTGCAGAGACACACACAAGAATCACTCCTTACAACTACAAATGTTATACTAAGCACTGATATGGAGCCATTTCTCACACCATGGAAATCGATTGTTTGGGGAGATTTACAACAGAATGGGACTAAAATCGACTTAAATAAGGGGATTACCTTTTTATTTGGAAAACTTTTGATTCCCCTTCTCTTTTGAATAGGAATCATGTATTTATTCAAATGATTTTTAGGTTAAAAAGGAAAAGTTTATGTCTTCTCAGTTTCTGTAATTATGGCAAAGATATTCTACTCCTTACATATATACCAAAAGCTTCAAAAAGCCAGTGGAACAAAATTAGCGTCTCAAAAAACTAGTGTCTGAATTATTTTTGAGAGAAATTTTAGAAAAATGTGTTTTTATGTTTTTTTGTATTGTAGAACTTGTTTGGTTATATGATTTTAAAAACAGTTCTATGGAATAGAAAATAACAAAACTTGCTTGGACAGTAACTCAAATAACAATAAAAATGGAAACGTGGTGATGGTGGGAGTGTGGTAGTGGTGGTGATTGTGTTTTCTAAATTTTGGAAAAATTGTTTTAAAAAATATACAAAACAGTCCTAACTTATTCTCTAATATATCTAATATTTGTTCTCAATTTTCAAAAAATAAAAAATAAAAAATAGCTAGCCAAAGAAACTTTTTTACAGTTTGTGAGATGTAAACCAAACATGACCTAAATACTTTCTTTGATTTTAATTCAATTACCCATATCTATTTTATCTGAATTCATTCATGGTAATGCAATTTCTAATTTTGTGGACCGGAGACTATCACAAAATGTGACTATACCCCCCCCCCCAAAAAAAAAAAAAAAAACCCCACATGATAGGAAAGAATATATTGGAAGTAATAGATTGATATTTTTATTTGGAATCAATTCATCTATTTTCTTGAATCAGAGAATTTTCATTTCTCTTTAGCTGGAGGACCTTTCTCTTGTTAATTCGCTTTCTTTTTTTTAGCAATAAGCTATGTAAAAGGGGTGATGATCCTTTACGGTTAGAAAATTGATAGCAGATGTGATATTGATTGAAACTGCACCGTTTTGATACAAAACGATGCCATTTTATCAAATAGAATGACAGGTGCACCAAAACCATTTTAGTCAACAACACTTTTATTGTTAAAAACAATAGACATGTCGGACCCATGCAAAAGCTACCGAATAGGTTCGATAGACCTTTAATAACTCTCGATAATCAAGTTCAATCCGACATTCATTAAATCATTTTAAAAAATTAAGGGTAAATTTCATTAACACTACTTGAATAAGCATAATTTCAAAGACACTCTTTTTATTTTTTAAAATATCAACTGACACCCCTTGTCAATAATTATCGACTAATAGAAAAACAAAAAACGGACGTGAAGTATCCTTTTATAAATTTACCCCTAACAGATCATTTATTTTATATGAATATAGTTCACTAATATATTTACATATACTTTTAAATATACATATACGCCCACTCACCCCTAAAGCATTATTTTCCATTCCTCTCTCTTTCAACTTCAATAATCTATTATTTAGTTTTATTAATTTAATACTAAATTAATATTTAATTTTATCAATTTAATTTTTTTTATTAAATTATTACTAAATTAATGTTTAATTTATCATATTAACATTAATTATCACCACATTGCATTTAATTTCATGAATTAACACCAAAATTGTCTGTTAATTTTATCAGTTTAATATTCAATTAACATTCAACTTCACCAACTAAATATTTAATTTTATTAAATTAACATCAAATTGACCTTTAATTCCCTTGAATTAACATTCAAAATTATTAGTTTAACATTTAATGTTTTTAATTAACATTCTATTTTATCAATTTATTTATTTTTTAATTAAACATTCAATTAGCATTCAAACTAATCAATTTAATACTTGATTTCCACAATTTAAAATTAAATTTGATCAAATTTACACCATCTGACTTTCAATTTAACATTCAAACATTGGGATTTTCTCTTAATTTGCATGTTTTTTTTTAATTTTAGTTAAATTAGACTTTTCTTAGGTTTTATGTTGAATTAGACTTTTTTATGTTTTAGCTCCAAAAAGATATGAAGTAGGAAAGAAATAGGAAAATATTATTTAGTTACTTTATTGAGGAGTAAATTTGTCATTAATAGATAAATATTGAATGACATTACTATTTTTTGATGTGTCATTAATGTCTCAAATTGTAAGGGTATTAGTTGAAATAAATCTATAAACCAAAAGAGAGTGTAATAATATTTTAAAAAACATTAGGTATGTTTATAAAATTATGTCTATATACCAGAAGTGTTATCGAAATTTACCAAAAAATTAAATATCTATCCTAAAAATAATAGAAAATTTGTATCATCTCTGCACCAGTAACATCTATCTTTTTGTGTGCAATATACATATATTAGAAATAACTCGTGTCTAAAAATATTTGTTTTATATTAAAGATAAAAATTTTATTACTCAACAAATGTTGATTTGAAACTATCAACTCATTTGTAAATTTTTTGGTGTGTATAACATTTTTCGTTTTTTTTTTGGGACATCGACACTAGCTCGAAGATCTTTTCATTGGATCGATGCATCTATAACCCACCTATGACTTGACAGTTGACACTTGTCTTGTCCTTTCAAAGTTGTAAGGGGTCACTTTTATGAGTGGATGCACGAATAAAAATAACAAAAACAAAAAAAAAATGCTATTTATACTTCAAATATTGATTTAATTAATTATAATTATTAAATTTATACTAAATTTTAACAAATACTTAAATTCATAATTAAATCAATGATAATAATTAATAATACATTACTCTAAAATTTATGTATATAATATTAGAATTAGTAATTTAAATTTTAAATTTATAAAAAATATAATAATAATTAAGATTAATTTTATTTCATTTAAGTAATACAAAATTAATTTTTTTTTTAAATATCATCTTCTAACTCAACTAACTTTCAATGTAATACCAAACTGTTCTACATCCCTCTCTTTCTTATTTATTTATTTATTTTATATCTGTTCTAATTTTAAATTGTGTTATAATTAAAAGAAATATTATTTAAAACATATACATTGAATAATACTCAATTTTTACTTCTTACTGAATGTATTCACAGATGAAGTTATTATTAGTTTACTGATATTATATCTAAAGTATTTTCTGATCATAAAATAAAATAAAATTACACAGCCACGTCATCATCAGAATAATATTCGTTTTCCTATATATTTTTTTATAATTTTTCCATATATTTATTATTGTATACAAGTTGATTTTTCCTTACGAAATAATTGATCCGTGAAAAAAAAAATATATTAGTAAAAGTCTAAATCCATCATTATCCATTTCACATACATGCCCACTGTCCCTATCTAGTGGGACCCATACACAAGGACTGTCAACAAACTTTCCATGTAACCACACGCGCCCCAAAAGGAGCGTGATTTAGTGTCGATCACTTCCCATTGTAAATACTGCTCTCTGTATGTGTTTGTGTCCAAAGCCCCAACAAAAGAAAAACTCGCAACTTGTCACCGTCCAATTCATTGGGTACGCCGGTGACAAAGCCCCATAACACCGGTCCGTATCATCAGTATATACATATGTATAAGATGTGTTTACATCATAGGTCTGTCCCTTAGATTTCTGTTGTTTGGTTCGGGAATTAGCTCTGCGAAGATAAATTAGTGGTTCGATGTGGCGCTCTTTGGGTCTCAGTTTCTTTATTTTCAGTGATTTTTGGTAAGAATTTTGGATACCCAATTCGTAATTTGATTATCGAGTTTAGAGTCTGGAAGGAATTTAGATGACCCATGTCGATTTTTTTCGTTCTTTTAATCTTTATTGGCTGCATAATTGAATAGGGCTCTCTCTCTCTCTCATAGGAATATGTCTGTGTACTACTTGCAACATGCTGAATGTATTGTTAGCATTGCATAGTTCATGTACATGTATGGCTTGAAACGAAGGAAATATTTTTTTTGGGGTTTAAATGGCAATTTTCTTTAACCTTGTGTTTTTGGACTTGATTATTCGAGCTTATAAATAAGCATTTCGGTGGTTTTTATGCAATTGCCTTTTTAGCTTGAGTTGGGGGCTTGAATAGGTCAGAATGGTGGGAAAAGGATTCCTTTAGCGTACCCGACTAGTTTTTTGAGGCTTTCATGTGGTGATATGTTGGATATTTGGAAGATGAGAGAATTTAGATAGTGATATAACCTTGAGATATTCTATGATTGTAATTGACGAATTTTTTTTAGCTTTTAATGTTTCATGTAGATGGATGATATTGGATTGAATAGTTTTTAGATGTTCTGCAGTACAATAGCTGGTCAATTCTGTGTGTGCGCACAATGTTTAGAACCCCAGGCTTCATCGTGCCAGGCAGTAAACTTTGGTATCCTTTATTTTGGCACCAAAGTTTACAAGCTATTGCTTAATCCCCCTCCCTCTGGCTAGATGTCGCATTCACAAATGTGACATATGTTTTGCATGCATAATTTTATTCTCCACTCACTGATTATGGTATTCTATCATCCACAACCAGACGAGGCTTAGTATTTGTCATCTCTATCAAGTGGGATACTAGGTAAGCCAAAGAGAGCTTTCTCACTTCGACCAACCTTAACTACCAGGAGTATCATTGCACCTGTCAAACACCAGCCCAACATTTGCAGTACCTTGTAGACATCGAAGTATGCATTTCATAGCCAGCCAATTAATCTCACCTGGGCTGTCACCACATATTAAGGAGGAGGTAGAGTACAAGTCACATGTTCCTTATGCCAGTTCAATTTGAAGCATTATGTTTGCTACGGTGTGCACTAGGCCAGACATTTCACATGCCTTAAATGTGGTTAGCCAGTATATGGATCGAATTAGGTGGCTTGAAGTCAACACACCGAAAGTGCACCTAACTTTGGAGGCTCAATTAGTGCACCGAAAGTACACCAGAGTTAAGGATTCTAATTTTGGGTACTTCGCATCTACCTATAAATAGGCTATTGAGTTTCTTGTTACTGCATCAGAATTTGACACAAATTCCTTAAGTGAAAGAGTTTGTTTGATAGTGTGAATTGAGAGGGGTGTATAAGGGTTTAATGGTTAGGTTTTGAGATAGAAATATGAGTGGTTAGCTTGTATTGATATTCTTAGTTTCTGTGATTGTTTCAAACTATACCAAGATTTTTTTAACAGGAAACACAGCTCCTTTTCTTGAACTACGAACCCACCTAGTTGATACATGTAAATCTGTTCGTCCAACTCGCCATGCAGAATTGTTGTTTTGACATCGAGCTGCTCAAATTCTAAGTAAAATTAATTAATCATGTCCAATAGCACTCTGGTCGAGCTATGGTTCACGACTGGAGAGAACACTCCGTTGAAGTCAACACCCTCCTTCTGTGTGTAGTCCTTGGCCACAAAACGAGCTTTTAAACGAACATCTTTCACTCTTGGACATCTTTTTTTCCTTTTGAAAACCCATTTGCAATAAATGATTTTTTGGCCTTTTGGTGGTTTCACTAACTCTCATGTATGATTCTTATGGAGAGACCCAATCTCTTTATTCACAGCTACTACTCATTGTGTGAAATTTTCACTAGTGATGGCTTCACGATAAGAGACGGGTTCGTGAGCCTCAACACTTTAAGTACATAGACAACAAGATCTTCGTTACCATATATTTAGGGTGGCTTAGTGCGTCTTCTTTCTCTGTCCCTCTTAAACATGTACCCTTGTTGATGTGGAGTCGCACTAGAATTTTGTTCCTCATTTGCATCTAGGTTGATTGGGACATCATCTTTCAAATCTTGTTGCAAGTTCTCTGGAGCTCTCACTTCAAGCTCCACCTGATTAGTGAAACCATGGCCCGTTCCAACATTAAAAGACTCCTCCTTATTGATTTTGAGCATAGCAGACTCATTAAAGGTCACGTCTCTACTGATAATACATTTAGGTGGTTTAGTGACATCACACCACAATTGATAACCTTTCACTTTATCTGCATATCCTAGAAATATTCATTTTTTTTTGCCATCAACTCAAGTGTATCATCATTCATATGGGCATAAGCAGGACAACTAAACACTCTTAAATCAGTGTAACTTGTAGGAGATCCAGACCAAACATTTTCAGGAGTCTTATACTTGATAGTTGTTGATAGAGACCTATTTACAAGATAACAAGTTGTATTAATAGCTTCAGCTCAGAACTTCTTGGATAGTCCAACATTTAAGGGCATGCTTCGTGCCCTCCCCAAGAGAGCTCTATTCATTTATTCTGCAACCCCGTTTTGTTATGGTGTTTTTTTCATCGTGCAGTGTCTCACGATCCCTTTTTCTTGGATAATTCTTTGAAAACATCTCTACAAAATTTCATGTCATTGTCAGTTCTTAAAGGCTTGATCTGTTCTACTGTCTGCTTCTCGATCATAGCATTCCATTGTTTGAATTATTCAGAGACATCATTCTTGTACTTCACTATAAATACCCACACTTTTCGAGAATGATCATTGGTGAAGGTTTACATATACCTTCCACCACCAAGAGAGAGAACTCAAGAGGGCCCTAAAGGTCAGAATGAATATAATTCAAAGTGTCCTTGGTTCGATGAATAGCCATACTAAGCTTCACCTTGCATTGCCTCTCAAATACACAATGCTCACAAAAATCCAGCTTTCCAGTCTTTTGGCCATATAGCAAACCTCATTTGCTTAGAACATCTAGCCCTTTCACTCCTATGTTCTAAGTGTGTATGCCATAATTTGATAGTGTCTAAGCTTGAACCTGAAGATAAAGTTACAACAACAATACTCATTAGTGTGTTGCGTGTATCTGGTACAAACTATTCTACTTTTGCCTTTTCCTCACGACAATAGCAGTGTACCCAAGAAAATAATATTTTTCTGTAGATCTAGAAGAGTCCTTACAATGCCATCATACATTTTTATTCGTATTATTTCTATCCGTACAACCTTATTGGCTATACTACAATCACTTGGTTCATAGGTGGCCAACTAGTTTTTATTAGAACACATATGATAGGAGCAAATTGAATTAAGAATCTATTTATCACCTGAGCAGTTAGTACTATATTTGGGAACATCAGCATCAGTGGAACTTTCATTAGCAACACCAACAATGTTATCGATTTAAGTCTTCAGTTTTTGTTTTGCCTTTATTTTTCGGACAGTCTTTTCCAATATAACATTCTTTTTGACAAAGAAATCATTTAATCTTTCTAGATCAACTTTTGGATTTAGATCGACCTCTGCTACTTAAGTCTTTCTTCGTTGATCGTCCTCTTGGAACCAAATCTTCATCTGAGCTTCTACCTCTATTTTCAGACACCATTTTTTAACTCTTTTGAGTTCAAGGCCACCTTAACATCCTCCATGGAAAGAGTCTCTTAACCATACATGATGGTATTGAAAAAGTGCTTGTGCGTAAGTGGTAAAGAATTATGGCTTGAACTAAATCATCGAGTGTAAAATCGATATTTTTCAGATCTATCATGATATTATTGAACTCCCCAAACTGGTCATTGACAGGTGTACCTTCTTGCATTTGGAGAGTGAATAATCGTTTGATCAAATACAAAATTTTTTGTGAGAGACTTTGCCAAACTCTCCAATTTTAGTCACAAACTTGTGGCCATAGTTTTGCTAGCAACTTCTCGCAACACCCACAACTTCTTGTAGTTTTGTTAGCAACTTCCCGTTAAGGCTCAACGTGATAGCATTCTAAGCCTTTGCTGTCTTGCTTTTCATCATCTGGTATTATTGCGGGGAAGACATCTTTTCCCTTTATAACTTTCAACAATCCTTGTTGAGCCAACAAAACACACATCTTGAAACATCATATGTTGAAGGCGCTTGTTTTGTCAAACTTTTCTACTTAGAACTTTGTGGCCATGGTAAAATCTCTAGGCAAAATTCTGAGAGCATTAGATACCAGTTTGTTGTGACGGGTTCAAGATTTGAGTATCGAGATATACAATAAAATGACAAGAAATAAGTAGGGTACACACACAAAGACATAAGAGATTTACTTGGTTTGGCAAAAAACCTTATGTTCGTCCACGCAACGTAATCTACTCTATTGTGAGAGAAATTGAGAATATTAGGATAAGCTAGTCACTCAGATTTATATCCTAAAACCCAAGTCCTTAAACCATTGTACAAATACACCCTTCTCAACTCACACTCTCAAACAAGTTTTCTCACTCAGGGAATTTGTGTCAAGTCCTAATGTAGAAACAAGAAACTTAATAGCCTATTTATAGGCAGATACATTGTACCCGAAATTAGAACTTCTTAAATTTTGGTACACTAATTGAGCCTCCAAAATTATGTGCACTTTTGGTGCCTTGACTTCAAGCAACCTAATCCCACCTTACAAATTGGCCATTTGATGACGATGGCTTAGACGATTTAGAGTTGTCTTGAAAACAACTCGGTCGAATCTCCTGAGATTCGTGGTTTCCACAGAACATGAAACGACATCAAAAAGAAAAGTGTCGAATTAACTTGGCCAAATCATATTGGTTGGACCATGGTGCGAAAAGCATTGGGGGCATGGAGCTGGTTTATTATAGTGCAAAATTACGGCCTTGAGGGGATACAAGGATGAAAAGTGATTTCGAGGGCAAATATGGAAAATAGGCCTTTACATATCTCACACATCATGCCCTAAGGGTGCATGACAATAGTGTTCAAAGTATCAGTCGACTCGGCCAAGTTATAACCGCCTGGCCCCAATTGAACTAATAACGATACACGTTACACCAAATCAACGAGTCCCACTAGAGTCGGCCTTGAATCAGAGATGACTCGGTAAAATCGGTACAACTTGGGCTTTCCTCAGTTGACTCAGACCAACTCGTCACCAAGTCGGATGATTCATGATAAAATTGCACAGACCACTAAAATACAACAAAGTGCCAGCCAAAAAAAAAGGAGATGGAAGAGAAAGAAAGTAAGAGATAGGGTTGATTCCCACATGAAATATGCATAAAACTATGAGAAACCCATATTCAAAGCTGAATCGGAGCAATTTTTAGTCTCCCACGCAATACCCATATGCTTTTTGGTAAGACAAGAAAGAAATTGAAAACAAACCTGCAAAATTAAGCAACTACCAACAAGTCTAGATCTCCTTCTTCCTCCTTTTATTCTTTTATTCTTTTTTCTTCATTTTCCTCGGTTTATCATGTCATGACGATGGATCGCACACCGGTGTCAAATTTCTGCTTGGACTTCGACTTCCAGTCTCGAATCATGAACTTACAAGGAGGTTTGCCATCTCTCTTTCTCTCCCCCCTTTCTTTTACGGGATGTGTGAAATGGGGCAGTGTTTAAGGCATTTCTTTAAATGTTATTAGTTGTAGCATTAAATAGTATTAATTGTTTTGTATTTTTTATTTCTCTCTTCACTCCGATATGAGAGGCATTTCATTAAATGTTATTGGTTGTAGTATTAAATAGTGTTAATTGATTTGTATTTTTATTTGTCTCTTGGGTCTGATAATTGATTAAATAATTTAGTTGATGTTTCTCTATTAATTATCTTTTAAATTGTTCTATGCATTGCATTGGTGTATTACTTAATTTGGGGGTTAATTGGAGAAATTAATATATTTCATTAGATTGGCAATGAATGGTGTACAAATTATTGTTCGGTACATTCTTAAATATCAAAAGTGAACACTAGTAATGGTAAATATTTTCGGTAACACTCTTATATTTAATTTTCACTATATTTGATGTGCTAGATGATTTATTTTGGACATATAATTCATTGATGCTATTATTTATATTTTTTTGGAATTTTTCTATGATTTTTTCAGATTTTTTGCATATCGGCCGGTACCGCGACCGATGTGTATCAATGCCTTCCAAGTTGATGACCGATACTCCGACCTTGAAACATGCATGACAATCCTAGAATAGAGTAACCCTTATAGTTCTCAATACATTGTAAGACTTGGAGGTGGAGTTAATGAAATGTTGGTTGGATTTGCTTTACAATGTTGGCAGTCATTGTAAGATGGTCTATCAGATGAGACGAAAGGTAGAAAGGAATGGCAAGTTTTTAGTAAATTTGGTCGATATTCAGCTTTCTAAAGGAGGTGCTCCTTAGTCCAGGGAGATTTTTATGGTTAACTGGGTTTTAAAAGAAAATTGCTCAATTGTTTGAGAAAAGTGGGTTTATACTTTTTGCTCCTTCTGTTTCATGGCAATTTTTTATTTTATACTAATTTTTCCATGATCAATTCTGTGTTTTTGTGGTAGCTTCTTATTTCTGATCCTATAAAAAAATATTGCTAGTGAAGGCTGTTTTTTACTTGTTATTTGTGAATAAGTTGCAATATATTTCTTTTTCTTATTTGGTGATGTATGATCTTGATGATCCCTTTCGTGTAGGTATTAACGATTGCCAAAGGTGTACTGGAGACTCTAAGCTTGTAGTAGTTGATTGATAGCTGAGCTTGCTCACCTTTTAAGAGAGGAGTAAGAATGGAAGCACGCCCTGCTTTGTCAATTCAAAAGTCAGGTGCAAGACAACGCAATAACATTGCAGCGTCAGGGCCTCTGTCTTCATCTTTACCTGTTCTTCCCTCCACTCTGGGAGAAAAATATCCTAAGTTGCAAGACTCTCAACAGGTTCCCATGGAGAGGGAATTTTTGCCACCTCCTCTGGCTGTTCATCCTCTGGCTGTTCATCCTCCATTGTCTTCCAATAGTGGGACTGTTGGCCACATATTTTCTTCATCCTCAGAATTCTCCACCGATCTTCATTTTTCTTCTGCTTCCCCCCATGAAAAGCATTCAAGACAGGCTCCTTTCATTTCCCAGTCGTCAAAGAGTGCGGGGTCCGCACCATCAATGCATTCTTGTAACTCGGGACTTCTTCAATCTACAGCATCTAGTCACTATACTAAAGAAAGCAATGATGATTCCTGGTGTACAGGTTCACTGCCTGATTTCCTTAATTATCCATTGAACACATCAGTCCAGAATAGTCAATTCGAAAGTAGCAATAGTGGTGGTTGTATCATGCCATCTGAGGAACTTGGCAAACGAAATGATTGGCAGGAATGGGCAGACCAACTAATCAATGATGATAATGATGCATTGACTTCTGATTGGAATGAGCTTCTTGTTGATACTAGTGTTGTACATCCAGAGCCAGAGGTTAGGGTCCTATCACAACACCAGCCTTTCCAGATTGCTTTACTATAGGTTTTCCAGAGATGTAATTTATATGTTTCTTTCTTTTTGCTTGGTTATAATAGATGGCCTCTCAGGCTTTCAAACCGTCCACCAATTTCTCAGTGCACCTGCCCTTAGTACGTCAGCAACTTCCTGCTGTTTCTGGAGAAACTGGTGTTGTTGTTCCCCCTTCCCCCTCAGCGAGTGGTGCTGCAACCAAACCACGCATGCGTTGGACTCCAGAACTTCATGAAGCCTTTGTGGAGTCAGTTAACAAGCTTGGTGGAAGTGAAAGTAAGATTAATCCTTGCTGTACCTTTTGACCTTGTCTGAGGTTACAAAAACGTGGGGATACTATTTACATTAACTACTTTTTGAACCACAGGAGCTACTCCCAAGGGAGTGCTGAAGCTAATGAAAGTTCAGGGTTTGACAATCTATCATGTAAAAAGTCACCTGCAGGTGCTTTTGTTGGCCTTTTTTCCTTATATTAGTTCCCAACAAAGTGGATCAGCCATTTTTGTTATTACTCATGTAACCATGAATTTGGTTCTCTGGATTGCAGAAATATCGAACAGCTAGATACAAACCAGAATCATTAGAAGGTAAACAACAGCTATTTTTTGTTTTGTTATGGATGATCAAATGTACTGCATTCTATCATTTTATCTCATTCAATCCATTCTGGTTTTTACATTGTTGTCACTTCTGTTCTTATGACAAATGAAATGCTGGAGAAAGCAGGTATTTAAGTTGTTCAGCAAGGCAAAATTCTGTTTATGGTTTTTCTTTTTTCCCCTTTTTAGCATCATGTTTTTAGCATTTGCATGATATAAAATGAGTGGAGTACAGCCTATTTTTTGACCAACATGTCAATCCTATTCACGTAGTTCCTGCAAGAAGAGCCATATAAAAATAGATACAGCGACTGAGAAAGATTGATCTCTTCTTGGTTTTCTTCTGAGCTCCCCCAAAAAGTGCCCCATTTCTTGTGACGACCCCCTTTTTATTTTCTCTCCTTTAGGCCGTGACTCACTCTATGGTGAGCACACAGAGATACAGGTGCAAATAGGCAAGCACATGCATGTGTCTCACTCCATATATAGCTGCCACCTCTTGTTACTTTGTTAACAATTTTATTTTCGTAATTTTTCCATGTTCTTATCCATTGGTTCATAAAAGCCCATGCTTCACAATAAGTGGAACTTGGAAGCCTACTAGAAATTTTGACAGGTTGTAGGGATAGTTTCCCATATTCACATTTTTTTTCTTTTTCCCAACTTTTTATCTTTGACTTCAGTTCCTTCTATTGGCTTCATTACTTACTTACCAATTGGTCTCACTAGCATTTGCCATCAATTAGTCTCACCATAATCTGCCGTCATACAAAATTAACTTGTCTATTGGAACAGGGTGTTACAGTAACTTGTCAGAAAAGTGACGGCCTGCAAGTTGAGTTCCTTTATTCATTGGGATTGCTTTCTTGTGCAAAGTATCAATCTTTGTGAGCTTTGCTCATGAAGCTAATTTAGGTTTTCTAGAACTTGTTCCCTGAATATTTTTCTAGGTTCCTTAGTTGTTTGAGCTGTTTATGACCTGTCAGCATTGGAGGGAAGACTTCCACCATAGCTCTGATGCTTGTAGTTCTGTACTTGCTGTGTTACCCAAGCCTCAGCACTCTGTTGTATAGGGAAATTTTTGCAGTGATGTACTGTTTAGCATATTTTCTCCTTTTCCCCCTCAAAATCCTGTGCCATCTTTCCAATAGTGTTTTTTGTTTTTGGTGTAGTTGTTTGTTTCTTGCTTTTTTTGGTTGGACCATAGTATGTAAAGAGGATTCAGGGCATCACACTCCATAACTCAGGCATTCTCCTTTTGCAGGATCTTCAGAGAAAAAATTGACTCCTATAGAAGAATTATCATCTTTGGACTTGAAAGCGTAAGTAACTTGATTGATTTGACCACTTCCATCAATTGGTGGAGTTTATAGTTTATGTATGTACTATTAATTGGTTACTTATTCTCTAATCTGAATGATTGTCATAAAAGTATTGTCACTTTCTGTGGTACATAGGTGCCTTCCAGTGGTAGTTTATCTTTTCATTGACCAATTTTTTACATAGAAAGTTCCATTCTTGACCCAATAATACTTGAATTTTGACTGCCACTTCTATTCCTCTGCTGAATTTGATCTATTGTACAATAATTGATCACATTGGGAGGTTGAATTCCTAAACTTGTGAAGAACCGACTTGGAAAAAGAGCCAAACAATGCATCCGTAATGGCATCAGCAGATCACATGGATGAAATGCTTAGATCCAAGAATTGATATCCCTAAACTTTCATATTCTATGCTTAAGAATTAAAAGAAAAATTATGTTGGCAATCTCTGGCACTAATGCTGATCTTCTGGGAGACTGACAACATTGATAGGGGGAGAGAGATGCTGATGATCATTATGACAGGGACTAGGAGTTCTCATGGAAGGGGGGATGACTGTGGCACAACCATGGGAGACCTAGAATGTTTGGGAGAGCTGCATTAGGGGGGAACGTTATCATTGTTTGCAAAAACGAAGGGTCATTCTGGTGTCTGAATTCTTAACAAAATGACAATTGTTTATGTTGTTTGCTGGTAAAATATAGCAAAGGCAAAACTGTTCTCCATTGAGGCAGTGACAAACATAACCTCAAAACTTGTTACAAAAGCCTTGTCTTTCACCTTTATAAGCTCTAATCATAACTACTGCTACTTTACTGAGTATCCTCCAGTAACTAAGAAATGTTTCCAAGATAACAAAGTCTTGAAACTTTAAAAAAAGCTGAAAAGTAAACTTTGAGTGTATAGAGTCCTCTGGATTCCAATCCTATTTCAGCACTGGTAACTTTAATGAAGACTTGTGATGCAGTCATGAACCTGTGTGAGCTTTTATTCTTTTACCCTGAAACTCAGTCCTGTCCCATTTAAGATTAAGACCTTGCATAGCCCTTTCCAATTGCTGCCACAGGGCAGTGGACCCTTTTTCTGTGTTTCATTGCCATTCTTTTCTGGTGAACTAAGGTTGCCCTGAAGTAGTTTAACCTTACTGCATGCTGTCTGCTTCGGAAGGCTCAGGGTTCAAGTCCTGGTTAAGGGACATGGGGTGGGGTGCATGGGGTTATGGATTTAACAACCTCCCTTCCCCAAACTGCCCACATTATGTAACCAGTGATAATTCCAGTTCAAAGAAGTTGAAAGAAGAAAAACTGTTTCTTGACCCACCAAAACTGCAATGAATAGGGTATATCCAAATTGTATTAAATTAAATGACTCACTCTCATTCTCTCTCTCTCTCTGTAGGATAATATAGTGTTGGCTTTGTTTAAAGGCTAGCTCACATATATCCATGTAATTGCACCTGGCGTGGAAATCAAGTCTCACATGTCTCTTGCGAATGCAAACTGCAATGCCTCTTAATAGGCATAGCATGGGTCTCACCAACACTGGGACTGTAAAGACTAGAGATTTTCCATATTATGATTGTATTTCTTATTGACGGTAAGCATAGGG